CCGTGCTAGGCCACGTGCCGACTTCCACAAGTACTGTGACCTTTCCCAGGGGTCTGACTTCTTCTCCGCTGAAGCCGACCAGCGGGGTGTTCGCGGACTTCAAGTCACTCTCTCGGAATTGGAGCTTGTTGAAGGCCGCTTTAAAAAGGATGTTTGTCGAACTGCCGAAGTCAATGAGTACCCGCCGGACTTCAAAGTCGTTGATCTTCATCTTTATGACAAGTGCGTCATCATGGGGGTAGTGGACCCCGTGCGCATCGTCTTCGGTGAAGAATATGGAGTCTTTTGTCCTAGGCCGCTTTGGGGGATTTTGTTCTTCTTCGGCAGCCTCCCGGGTTGATGCCCGAGCTGCTGCCGAGGTGCATCTTGCTACGATTGATCCTCCAACGATCACGTGGATTGTTCCCCAAACTGGTCTTTCCTCCGGGGGCTGCTTCTACAGTTCGGCTGGCCGGCTGCTTGACTCGGGAGCATCTCTGCTATGCTCTCCCTGCCGACCTGTCTTATTACTATTATTATTATTATGCTGTACAAAATTTCGTAGGTACCCGTGACGAATAAGTTCCTCTATCTCGTCACGGAGATTATTACAATGTTCAGTACTATGACCGTGGTTCCTATGGAAGCTGCAGTACAAGTTTTTATTCCTCTTGTTCGGGTTTCCCTTTAGACGAGGTGACCACTTCACATACGGGGCGTCTTTGATCATCATTAAGATCTCGGCCCGCTTTGCGTTCAAGGGCGTGTAGTCCGTCCGACCTGCTAAGGGAGCTCGGAACGGCGGGCTTGGCTTCGTCCCCCGAGCTGGGTCTTTCTTTCTCTTGTCATCTGGGTTGGAGGGTTCGCCTTCCCTCTTCCTTTTTTCGATCCCGCTTTCAGTCCTTTGGTTGATCTCCTCATCTGTTCTTATAAATTTGTCCGCGAACTTGAGAAATTCAGCTACGGTCGCGGGCTGGTTGACTACTATGTGCCACTTGAACTCCTTGTGTGTCACTCCCCTCTTGGCTGCCACGAGTTGTACCGCGGGGTGTAGGCGCGGTATCTGCAAGCACGCGTCATTGAACCGTTTGACATAGCCCCGGATGGACTCTCCTTCCCTCTGGACTATTCCGAGGAGGCTCTCCTCGGTTCGGGGGCACCGCTTGCTAGTAACGAAGTGCGCGGTGAAGACCTGCACGAACTAGGTCCAGCTTCTTATCGACCCGGGGGCTAGGTTCCTGTACCAGGTGCGGGCTACTCCCCTGAAGGTTGTAGTGAACGCCACACACATACAAGACTCACTGGCCCTTGCTAGGTGCATTTGGGACTGGAAAGCATCGACATGGTCATTGGGGTCAAAAGACCCGTCATACTTTTTTAGAGGAGGGAGTTTGAAATCCTTGGGCATGGGGAATGCAAGGAGTTCTGATGACAGGGGGGAAGGGATTGAAAGAATAAGGGCAACTTTTACCTCGGAGCTCGGGCAGGATGCGGGTGGTAGTTCGACGACTTCGTTGGCGTCTTCACTGCTGCTTAGAGGGCTTGGTGTTGGCGCTACTTGCCTGGTGTTGGCGCTACTTGCCTCGGTGTTGCCAAGGTTGATCGGCCCGGACTGCTGGTAGTCCGCTGCCAGGACGCCGAACTGGTTCTCTGTGAGTGGGGGCTCGAACTTAGATTGCCGAGGTGCTGACTTGATTGGCAAGGAGATTCCCGATCCGCCAGCGAGCTGCGAGGCGGGGGTGATTAGTCTTTCCCTCCTACCCAGGGATGAGGCCTGGCTCTTGGAGGGGTCCTGGAGTTGGGAGGCTCCTCCTTGGTGAAGGCGTCCACCCTGAGGGTAGGGCTTGACCAGCTTCGGAGCAGGGTGCCGAGGTGGGAGCTGTGGTTGGTTCAGAGGCAGTTGGGGGAACTGTTGTTGATAGTGATACTAAGAAATGTGGTGCAGTACTTGCTGCTAATGGAGCTGATGTTGCTGGAATTGCTGCATTTGGGCTTGCATTACCCGCATGCATTGCATCAAGTCATTGAACTGGTTTTGGCTAATCGCCAGAGGGACAACAGTAGGTTCGGCGAAAGTTGTCTCGATAGGGAGGGGAAGGGGAACATTCACAGGTGCCACCATGCTTGGTGCATTGAGGCTAGGGATTCCGTCCGTCGAGAGGGGGACGGTGAATTGTCCGATGCATACAGTGGCGGGCTGAGGGTGTTCCCCTACAGCATTCAAGTCGGCATTGTGCCTGTTGCTACTGGAGGAAGCCATGGAAGCTAAGGTTTCTTTGAGAGAGAGGGTTAAAGGATAGGGTAGGCTTTTTGAAAGTTTCCCACAGACGGCACCAAATGATGGTGCGCAATCTGTTGGTCCTAGCTGTTGGTTACCTCACCTCTGACGAGAATGGAGGTGCCTGAAACAAGGAAGAAAATGGAGACTTCTGGGGAGGAACCCGGTTGGAACACTCCGAAGCTCAAGTTAGTGCTCTTGAGAAGGCAAGGGAAATGAGGAACTTTAAGACCAAAAAACGCAAGAATCACATACCTCATTCCTTGGGAGATGGGGGTCTTTTATAATCACCCTGTACACTTACTTCCATACCTCTGCCAGTTCGGGTATCATTACCTCCGCCAGATCGGGTGTCATTTCCTCTGCCAAATCGGGTGTCATTTCCTCTGCCAGATCAGGTGTCATAACCTCTGCCAGTTGCCAGTTCCCAGTTCGGGTGTCATAACCTCCACTGCCAGTTGCTAGTTCAGGTGTCATAACCTCCACTGTTCCTTGTCAGGGCCGTCTCTGCCACGTCTGAGATGGCGGTGGCAGGTGCCGTTGGCGGGCGGCTGTCATGTGTCGGACCCCTAATCAGTCAGGTGCGCCGTCTCCATGTATGGGCCTCCTGGGCGTCAGGTACGGTTGTTCAGTCAGGCGACTTGGAGCCGAAGTTGTGTGCGAGGTGGTCTTGAGTTCGGATAGAAGTGTGGCCCGAACTGCCCCTGGGTGGGTAGTCCGGGTTTTTTGCCTTTTGTGCTCCTTGTAAGGCTCAAGACCTCGAAGGGAGAGCTCGGGTTCCTCCTTGGGGAGCTTAGGACTCCTTAGCTCGGAGCTCGGGTTGTAGGTTCTTCCTTTGGGGGAGCTCGGGACTCCTTAGCTCGGAGCTCGGGTTGTAGGTTCCTCCTTTGGAGGAGCTTGGGATTCTTTTTTCTCGGAGCTCGGGTTGTGGGCCCGTTGTCGTGCCGAGCTGACGCTTCTACCAGATCACTCTCGGTTACCTCCACGTGTCGCATGGCCAAAGAGTCGGGTCAAATCTCCCTCCATCAGTTCCTTTTGACCAATTGTTAGTCTTGAGACTTGCGGTTAGATATTTGGTAAACACTTTGATATAGAGTTAAGTATGGTGTTGCAATATGACACACCTGGCTAGGGGTGGAGCCGAACCAAACTTGGACATGTCTTAGCTTGTTCAACTAAAATACTACGAGTTCTATAATTCTATTTGGAGTTTAAGTTCAATTCAAATTTTATTTTTCAGTTTCGAGTTTTGCTCTATTAAATATTCATTGAGCTTGAGCTCAACTCAAAAGCTCGTAAATGAATATATTTTTAATATGATATATACAATACATTAAAATATAAAAGATATTTTTACAATTTATAAATCAAGCAAGACTTGCGAACTTTTGAGACAGACTTTTTATTGATAAATATAAAATTCAAATAATTAATCAAATTTACCTTAATTAGAATCGAACTCTAACAGAACCTAATTGACATTCAGGCCGAATTCTTCCATTAAAGCTCGATTTGAATTGCAGTCCTCCACATGAATTGCAGCATTATTGTCCTGAATCACACTCTTAGTACGATTGCTAGCCCATGCGGCCATGCTGTTACACGGCCAAAAAACATTTTAGCCCAGATTCAATGGACAATTATTGTAGACCATGTCAGATGTGAGACCACCACTCCACTCAAGACGGGTGGATTCTGTCGTGATTGGAGTTTGGAGGCAAGTGATCCAAATCCAACGATTTGGATTCGCCACGAGACCACCCTTTGAGTTTGGGACTTTGAGGTGTGAGAGAGAGAGAATCCACTTTGGTGAGAACGAAGATTTGGGCCCACCATGTACATGTGTACACGGTGGGAACTCGGAAACAAATAGAATTTAGGTTTCGACTTTGGTGGCAGGAACCGCAGCGACTCCTCCTGTCCTCTGTCACGATTAGTCCATCCATCTGCATCCTTCCAACTTCCAACCCTGCCCAAGTCTCCGAAATGACATTCGGATTCTCTCTCGCCCTCTCTCTCTCTCGCCCAACGGATATTTTGATTTACGAGGCAAACCCTAAATTTTAAAAGAGTGGGGCTGGGTAAACGGTCGAAATCTTGATTGCGCGTTAAAGCTGAACCGCCGAACGTTATTTTGGAATTATATACCCAAACAAAAACGTTATTTTGGAGTTTAGCATAAAATGGACTTTGCCTTTCATACCCTTGGACCTATCCACCCATTGAATTAAGTTTTCTCTTAACACTTGTTTTAAATAGGGATAATATAGGTATTTTCAAGTAGGTCAAAAAAGAGATAAAGGCTTATTAAATAGGTGCTTATTGAATAGGCTCAGTCATATACAAGTTCGAATTTTGGACTTATGTAATAAATACTCATTACCCAAAATAAGTAGTTAAGCACTCCCGAACTTTGCCCTAGTCTCCTCCCCACTACGTAGTAGCCTCTCCTCCAATATTGAACCTACCCAAAGCGCTAGCTCTTAAGGGGGGTGGGGGGCTTTGGATTCATCTAGTGTTAAGGGTTTAGTTGGACCCACCCATACCCAGTTCGCAGCATCTCGTGCCAATAATGAATAAACAAGGACCATGTGATTCTGATTATTCATTATTGTTTAGATATGTAGGTTTTATTTTGGGCCGTGCTTCTCGACCATCGGATTAACTCGGATGGTGTGGTCCCTTTTCCGACTTGTGGCGCATCAAAATATCGGGAATTGGAATCCATACACGACAAGAATGATAGATAATGAAAGACCAAAGCATCCCCCATCCCTGAAAGATGTGTCTCTCTTTCGTTCAGATTAGAGAAAGTTTGCATAGTTTGCATAACTCAAGTCTTGTATCAATCAAACCTTTTTTATATTTCCAGGCTCCAGCATTAATTTGCTGTCTAAGTGCCTACGACTACCACGAAACAAAAAAGGACAAGTGAACCAAGTCAAACCAGGAGTTCAGTTGCTACAGTAACCCAAAATGAAACACCCCCCTCCCTCCCGGGCCCCAACGCCCAACCAGTAGTCAGTATTCGGTTAAGAGGCTAAGTGACCAAGTAGATAGGCATGGCCGACGTTGAGAACCGATGGTGTGGTTGCTGCTGCTCTATATTGAGCTCTCTCAGGCTGAGATAAGGTATCTCCACCTCCCCCTTACGTGTCGGAGTCAACGTGCCGGCGAGCGGTCCCGACGTCGGATGACAGCTCGTCCGGCATGGCGTGGTCGACCCGCTTATGCTCTCTGTTATGTACAGTGGCCCAGATACTGCTCCCCTGCAAACCCGGTTCCTGCGGTAGACACCGTCCTGGCCGTCACTGGGCCTTGCATCGTCGGTCCACTTCCATTTCCAGAAAAGGAGAGCATTTCTCCACCACCTCTTCTTCTTCTTCTTGCTCTTCTTCGAGTCCTCTTTCGAGATGGGCTTCTGTAGTTTGAAATGCAGAGCATCCACGGATCTGAAACTGTCCCGCTTGTGGTTCCGGGCTTCTTCTAAGATCTTCTTTTTTCGGAAAACAAAGAGAAAACAAATACATTAAGTATCGTAGGAAGATCTGAAATGGAAGATTTAAAAAAAAAAAGGAACAACGATAAAAACAAACAGAAACAGAGTATGACCTGAAAATAATCGATTTGGGGGTCGAAGCCGTAGTCGCTGAAATGTTGAGGCTCCGGCATCGGAAATATCGGAGACTTGTTCGACATTTTCCCTCTCCCTGTCTCAGCTACATGTATTGCTTCACCTTCCGAGTTCCCACTCGGGATCTCTTTGCGTTCTTTTTATCAACCCTTTCGCTGTTGCAGCAACGAAGTGCCGAACAGAAAGAGGAGGAAACTGAGAAAAAGAAGAAGTAAGAGGGAGGGAGGGAACCGGGAACGAGGAGAGTCAGAAAGTAACCGTAAAAGGTAGTATTTGGGGCTCAAGAGTCAAGACTCAACACTCCCCTACTAAATGCTTAATGCTTTCTTCTTTTTTTCCGTATCCCAAAGATGCCCCTATCCCCCTTTTATTTATTTATTTTTAAATAGAATAAAATAAAAGAATAAATGATGGCGTTGTTGGGATCCATGCCCTTTAGCAGACTCAAAAGATGGTATGCTATAACAGAAGTGGGACGGGAGGGACCCAATATTGCAACGGTCTCACCCACAACCTGTGGACCACTTGATGCGATGACCAACCAATTAAGATGAAACTACTGATTTTGTTTAGTCGTCAAGGATCCATTCAAGTGAAGTGGAGCCCACATGTTATTTGGGTTTGATGTTTAGTGAGTGATCACCATCCACCACGTGAATGCCATCAACGTTGGTATCAAGATCCGGAGTAACCGAGTAAGTAACCTCCGACATTTTTAATACAGCGTTACAGCGTGCGTGTACGGTGTACCCGGCCCGGCGCAACCTGACTGAGAGGGATCCGAATGAGAATGCCCCAGATTGGCCTGAGGAACGTGACTCGTGACTCGTGACTCGTGAGTGTCATAAGAACACGACGGACGGTTAATTGCACCATGAAGGCATGAATGAAACGGATGGGTTATGGATCGACGGGTACGCTCCATGTCTTTAATGGCATGGGTTCTACAGATAGACTAAAAAGTAGAGAGGTTTGATTTAAGGATTAGGGTTTAGATAAAGAATGAAGATGGGGCTGGGTGAATCCGGAATCCAGAATCAAAATCCACTTGAGTACAAGTAATGCCCCACGTGAAGAGCAAAATGGTTTGGCTACTTGTATTGAGGATTGAGCCCTCAAAAGCCAAAGGCGTGAAAAGGTGGGTTCAGTGGTTCAGGGATTAGGCCTTACACTTCACACACACGTTGAAAAGTCATGAAACAGAAGAGGGCACGCCTGACTCACGAGCTCACCTGCTTTTCTCTCTCTCTCTCTTTCTCTCCAACTGCTCCCCCTCTTGCTGCTTTGGAATTTGGATGCCTCACATGTTGAGATTTGAGAATCTCTCTCTCTTAAATTGGATTGGATCGAATTGGATGTGTGGTGCCTAAATCTATATTTTTTTTTCGTATCAAATTGGGATAATTTAATATCAGTTAAATAAAAATAATAAAATCATGAATATGTTATGGGATCGGAATATTAGTACGGATCCATATAAGATTCCATTGTGAAGAGATAGAATTCAGATGGGATTTCAATTAAGTTATGATCTTTTATTGGCGTTTGAGCCTTGAGGAATAAATATGGTTCTTAAAATTAATTACTGTAGTACAATTTTAATTTTTTTTAAGAAATATTTAACACGAGGGGTATCTCTATGTATTGACTTTTCTAATTACCTCGTATAAAAAAAAATGCAGCAAAAGTCAATTAGATTAGTTGTATAGTGCCTTTTCAATTCAGGGACAAATTTGCATTTTGAATCATTTAATTGAGTATTAAAACAATTGATTGATCTCATTATTTTGTTCCTATTTTGAACTCCATTATATATATATATATATATATGTATTTATTTATATAATAGAGTATATATATCAAGCTCATTCTCAAATATGGTGCTCACAGCCCTTTTCAGCTATGCATCTGAAACATTTTCCATAAATAACAAGATATAAATATAGAAATATTTCTAATGTATGGCTGAAAAGGGCTATGAGAATTAGGGCTGTTTACGGGTCGGGTTGGGTCGCTTTATTAAAGTTTTTCCAACCGACCTGACCTGGTTGGGTTATTTGAGATGGAAATCGAAACCGACCTAGTGTTAAGCAAAACCAACCTGGTCAGTTTGAATCGGGTTGGGTCGGTTTAGGTCGGTTTCGGCTCTAAGTTCATTCATGCCCCTCATAGCCACCTAGTTTTCTGGAAATATATTTAAAACTGAAATATGTATACAAAAATATACATACATATATATTGGAATATATATTTTCTGGAAATATATATCAAACATATTTCATAATATATATTTTTTAGATATAGATATTGGAATATATATTTTCAGATATTTCAGTTTTTAGTTAAGTAGGAACTAAGTCGGTTTGGTTCGGATCGGTTTTGATTTTCACACAAGAAAACCAAAACCGACCCGAACCATTGGTTTATGAATTTGTACAACCCAAAACCGACCGATACTGATGAAAACCCGGCCGACTCAGATTGGGTTGGGCCGGGTTGGTCGATTTGCTCGGGTTGAGCCTTCTTATGAACAGCCCTACTGAGAACGGTATGCGTAAAATTTTGTAAGGACTGAATCTGCCCTCACAAGAAAACCAAAACCGACCCGAACCATTGGTTTATGAATTTGTACAACCCAAAACCAACCGATACTGATGAAAACCCGGCCGATTCAGATTGGGTTGGGCCGGGTTGGTCGATTTGCTCGGGTTGAGCCTTCTTATGAACAGCCCTACTGGGAACAGTATGCGTAAAATTTTGTAAGGACTGAATCTGCCCTCTATATCCTCATCAGTGTATGTGGTTCAGACTTGAGACAATAACATGGATTCCTGGTCATAGTTATTGACAAGATGTCCCTCTTCTCTGTATACATCCTGTTATCGATGAGATCCATGAATTAATTTGCTTCATAAGTGGCAATGGTTTGTATTTACAAAAAAATATAAATACAAATATGTACAGTATAAATACATACAAAATAAAAGATTTTACACTCTACAGATTTGCAAAATACAAATATGTGCAAACTGCCAAGAATCAAACCATGATGACCAGATCATATTTTTCATATATTCTTTGATCAGTTCATGTTTTTTCTATATATATTTGTACCCATGGCTCAGTTTAGGAAGAGTACAAATATAAATATGTCCAGCATAAAACTTTGCATACTAAACCTTTAATTTTCATACATATTTGTGTTTATATTCTTCCCAAACTGATCTGTGGCATTTCGGAAGGGTTAACATTTCGGTTTTGGTTTCTGTTTTCAGAATAAAAAATTCAGTTAGTCAAATTAAACGAAATTTGTTGCATAATATGTAACTTATTATATAACATAGAATATATATGACACCAAAAAGACTTGGTATCGGAAGAATTTTGACTAATCAAACCACCCTGAATTTTTATGAATACTCCCTGATTGGTCTAAATTTTTTCAGTATCATGTTTTTCCGGTATCATAGTTGAACCCATAATATATAATAAAATATAATATATTATTATTAAAAATTGGTTTTAATTGAAATAATCAAAAATTGAAGAAAAAAATTTGTTTCAATTTAGTTTTCATTTGTTAATTTCAGTTTATTTGATTCGTTTTTTTATTGAATAAAATGAATCAGGAGTCATTTGGTTGCACCTCCAAATCACTCCTCCGAATGCCAAAAAAACCTATGAATAAAGTAGAGCTACCCTCGAGCGTGTTCATAGGTAGTAGACAAAACTACCTTCCAACCGTGCCCTCCTCTCTTGTTTGAAAACATTGTGACCAACTCCATTTTTAGGGGTGCAACTTGGGTGAGTTTAGTCCGAGCTTGAACCGATTCAGCCTGAAATTATATGGATTGGGTTCAGGCCCAAGAAAGGGGTTCTTTTATTTTTTTGGGTTGGAATGGGTCTAGTTCTTAGGTAGCCCAAATCTTGCCCGAATTTGAGCCCAATCCTAGTCTATCAAATTACAGTGTAAGCTGGACTTGTATTGGGAAAATCGACCTTGACCTTGAACTCAGTCCAAGATCAGGCCTTAAACCCAAATTTTAAGATTGAGCCTAGATTGATCATAAAACTCAGCCCAACCCATCAGACTTGCACCCCTAATCTTCATTACACCCGTTGGCACATGACACACATGGGTACCTAGTACTGCACAGTAGTCACTAGAGTTGTGTGTTGCATTAGGTAAACAACTTGGTTACGTAAATTTTTGTGCATATTGTGTTTTATTCGTTAACACTCCTGTTGGAGAGTCTTAACATTAGGGTGTCAATTGGATCGCATTTGGTCCAATATGAGTCCATTAGAGATGGACCATGTCATTCGATGGACTATTTTGTACTAGTCAATTCAATGACTGGACCGTTCAATCTGTTCAAATTAGATTTAATTTAAATTGGTTTGAATCCAAACCTGAGCTATTGACACCTGCATTTTTGTCTTCTATCAATGAACTGGATATTAGTTCAGTCCAATCCAATCTAATATATATTTAAGTCTGGATTGGTTCAATTCATTATGTCTTATTGGTCAACCGAATCTGTTCAAATTAATTTTGATATGGATGGGTCCAACCTACCCAAAAGTCCGAAACCGGTCCGTTGACACCCCTATCTAACAGCACTCCCCCCTTGGCACATATGGTTGTATGTTATTGACTGCATCAACCTTCCCCTCTCTTTTACTTCAATCTCAATTTGTTATATTTGTCGAAATAGAAACTGAGCAACCCATTAGTTTTCTTCTCCAACAGATCTCAGTAAGCTGGCCTTGAATGCTTGATTAGATTAACCCTCCTGATTAATTTTCTTCTCTTGATTCACAGCCCATGCAATCTGTTGTAAACTGAGATCTGTTTGGTGCAAAGGTATTGGCCTATGGGCCTCACTCAAATAATAATAATAAAGAAAGAAAGAAAGAATACTCCTGTGATATTCTCCATATTATAAGCGCCACATGGGAATAAGAATCCCTTCCAGACTCAAGAAATGTTAAGTGATATTTTTTTAAAAATATGGGAATGCAAATTCTAATTTATTTGTTTTTTTTTCCAACTTTTGACTTATCTCGTTTGTTTGGATCGCAGATGAATGAAATAAAACCCAAAAGAAAACTAAAAGCCAAAGCAAAAGTGCATCAGAATTTACACTCTCATGCATTACAAATGAAGTTGTACTTATAAAAAAAAGAGTATTATGTGCGAGACCCAATACAAAATGGGGTGTGTTGTCATTTCAAGTCGAATCTATTCCACCAAACACATTTTTTGAATGCTAAAGTTGAAAAATTTGCCTTTACCTGTGGTAGTGGTCAT